GATCACTGCAAGTTCCAGGTCAGTCTGGGCTACACAGTGGGCTCAAGGCCATCCTGCAGTACAAAGTGACCCTGTCTCCAAAAAAAGTATTTACTTACATGCACACCTGTAAATAACTGAATTAAAAAAAATTTTTTACAGTAAAAAGGCACTACCATTAATCCCCATCCAAATACTCCCCTGAGAGAGGTCGAACTCATAGAGACACAGAATGGCCATTACTATGGGCCGGGAAGATGTTCCTTAATCAGCACAGAACTTCGATTCTGAAAGGTGAAACATTCTGGAGGTCTTCTCCAGAACAATGTAAATCTACTGAAAACTACTTAAAAATGCTGAAGATGGGTTAAGGGAGGTCAGAGTCTGGACCCCAGACCCTGTTCCCATGTCAGTGGCCTGTGTTTCATTAGCACAGACTTTCCCAGGAAGTGGAGAGAGGTGGCTGGGAGTTGTCCTGAGGAGCTCTAATCCCAGCTACTCCGAAGGATGAGGCAGAATTGCTGGAGCCCAGCAACTCAAGGCCAGCATGACCCTGTCTCAAAACTAAAAGGGAAGCATACAGTTCCCTCTGTCGTGGAGCACCCCAGCTTCCACAGCCATCGACTCACTGTTGGAGTCTGAAATCTAGAGTCTGTAGAGGTAGGAAGACCGGAAGGCGCCCTCCTTTTTATTAATTTCACTCGTTGTCCACCTAGTGTAACCTAATCTGATCCCTGAAATGTCACTCGCTTTGTGTAACCAGATCTTCGAAGCGCTGTCATATGGGGAGGGGGCCCCACACGGGGTCCAGCACTAGGGTCGCCTGCGGGGCTGCCGGCCACAGGACCGGGCTGTTACTTTAGTCACAGCTTGACAGCACCTGTGCTCGCCGTGTTCCTTCTCCCAGGTTTTACTGTGCTCCTTAAACGCCCATTTCGGGAGGTGGTTTGCTCCCCATCTAACTGGTGAGTGTATTATGTCATTTGTTCAGGGTCATGGAGCAATGACCAAATTAGAACTCACACATCTTAAACTATCGTGTTCCACCCCACAGGGTGTATTTTTATTACTATTATATGAAAATCACCTTTTTAAATCTAACATTTATGGAAAATCAAAGTGTTCTATAGTGTTATGTAAGTAATGGATTTTTGAAGAAATTTTCTTCTTATGTTATTACCTATAAATTCTTTCTTCTTCTTCTTCTTCTTCTTCTTCTTCTTCTTCTTCTTCTTCTTCTTCTTCCTCTTCTTCTTCTTCTTCTTCTTCTTCTTCTTCTTCTTCTTCTTCTTCTTCTTCTTCTTCTTCTTCTTCTTCTTTTCCTCCTCCTC